CTCCACGTGGTTCAAACTTTGTTGACCAAAAGCAACCTAGTTCCTGGCCTCTACAGCCGTATTACACCGGCAGTTGGATACTCTAGAAGTAGCATAAATACCAATTAATGATTCAGTTATATATATAAAATAATAGCCTCAACTGTGATATCTTTCTTGCCACTCTGCTGTAACAAATCCTTCTGCTGCATCTCCCCCAGAAAGGCTGGTTTGCAGACGAAGGACAGACATATGGGCATGAAATGTTACGGGTGACAGACGGACCGTGAAATTTGTGTCTCGTCAAAATTTGTCTCTTAAGGGGGTTTTTCTCTTTAAAAAAAAACTCTTTTAACAGGGTACCCTTACTGTACTGGCATTTTTTTGCTACATCAGAACTTTTTCCAAAGAGAGATGCCATGGGGCTATTGTACCAGAGTTATTTTGAAACACCAGTGAAAATTTTCTTAAGTAATTCATTTAACGAAACTATTTGTGGTACTATTATATCGCAGGAACTTGTGTAGAGAGACTTGGTCGTGTGATGGCTACGCAACTGATGTGTCAAAATGCGAATGGATCAGTTTGACTGGTGCAAAAGATTTGTTAAGATAGTAATTATTAATACCGCGTACCGATATAATTTCATGTTCAATTGTTTTCTCCCGACAATCTTATTATGGGGTCACTCTCGCTTTTGACTCATCTCCCCGTCACCGTTCAGTACTGTGACACACAATTTTAAAACTGTGCAGTTTTAAAACTGAGTGACGCAGTTTCAAAACTGAGATTATGGTCACAGCAATCTTAAAACTGGCACAATCCAGCCACGCCCCAACCTTGGTTCCCACTATTTCTGCAGAGGTTGTTATCTAAAGCGGTTCTGATTCTGTACTGTGGTGGTGGAAGCTACCAGGTACAAAGACAAGCAACCCCTCCGTAGTTGTAGGTCCAGCCCAGCACTAAAAACGCAACCTCAGTTTTCATCTCTTGTGCTGCCGTAGCATGGACTCATCGTTTTCAGAGTCAATTCTTGCTTTCATATGAAGAGGAAGAAAGAGTTCTTTGAGATGTCCTTAAGTGGCCCATCTGTAGTAGATGACGAGAATCCGCAGACTCACTCTTCATCGAGGGAGAAGAAAAACGATCTCCAAAATGTCCACAATAGAGCAAGTTGGATATTATGCAATAATTCATTTTTCACTAGGAATCTGGAGATAGTTGTTCCTATTTTCGATTTCTAACAAGAGCATAGGTGGAAAACGAATCTCGATTTATATCGCGTAAAACTGCTTTAACCACCTCAATTTATATCGCGTAAAACTGCTTTAACCACGAGAACGACAGCCTGAAAATATGCAGCAAAATGGCTTTTACAGGATATCCCAAACTAGGTCACTTTTGAATTTCGATATATATGATAACATAATATAATACCATACCGAACATCACATCTGACTGCACAATGTCTGTGGGTACGCGGTATTTCCGGAAGTTCGTAAAATGACTACGCCCGTCAAGCCACCACTTCTGAGATTGTGAAAGTTTTTTAGCTTTCTCAGTTTTGAAACTGCGTCACTCAGTTTTAAAACTGCACAGTTTTAAAATTGTGTGTCACAGTACTGTAATAGGCAGCATAATAGATTTTAATTTTCGATCATTCTATATCAGTTCTACCTATTTTAACCAAGCACGCTACAACTCATTCAAGACTCCTAACTGTTATCCTCAGCAGTGCACAGATTGAATGCACCCAAAGCAGCACAGTGGACGTCAGAATCCTTGCGACTTCGCTCCAAGCATGACATCAAGACAGGAATCCCGTCCAAAGCGGAAATCTTGGACTGACAATCATCCGAGTTCGCAGCTAGAACCCAAAGCAGATTGCATGCTTCTCGCAGGAAATTTTCCTCTTCCATGTTGTCTCTCATAGCATTTATGACAACCGACACAGCTGCGGATGCTTCTTCGGCAAACCGAGGAAGCTTCAGAACGATATTTCTTAAAGTGATGCACCCAATTTCCAGTAGCGATAACGTTGAGCTGTTGATTCGCATGGCCTCGGCTGTGTTACTTACTGCCTGCGCGTCCGTGGCTGCTTCTGCGAGTGATGGTTCAAGGCTTGCATTCGCTAACACCCCACACGCTTGCTCCAGAGTCGACGTTCGATTTGGATGCATCACCAAGGAACACGCGACGACATCAATGGCCCCACTTCCTACAAGAAGTCTTCGTCGATCATCCGAGTTATTAACTAGACCCCAGAGTACCCCGCATGCTAACTCGAGCAATTCACCAGACTCCATGTTCTCTTGCATGGCCTTTACCAAGTACGTAACACCATCGCGTCCAATGATTGTACCCGGCGAATCAGCAGACTCGGAGATTATATTCAACAGCAAGCAGCATGAATTGCTTTGAATCGACGCTTCCTTTTTGTGCAGTTGCATCGCATCAACTACTCTAGTAACAATCCCAGGCTGAGTCAACGTTTCTGGGTGGACTGATTGACAAGAAATATTGCGGCAAGCCAAAGTTGCCAAATCCAAGATTCGTAGTCCAGACACAGATTCCAGTGTTCGAGTCAATAGGCTAATCCCTCCGTGTTCAAGCACAATTTCTGTACCTTGAGCATCCACAGTGAGTGAAGCAATGAGCGCCACTGTCATCTCTTGTACCTGTGAATTGCTGTTGTGCTTGTATGACGCTTGAACTAAGCAGTGTATGACTTCAGAGGACATCATTTGCTGCTTCGCGTCATCCGATTGGATGGACAAACAAACCAAAGCTCTGACGGCCTCTCCAACGAATTCGGGAGATTCGATGAAGAGTTGCATGGCATCGACTATGGCACGAACCCCCCCCTCTCTCACAACATCCTCGCGACCACAATCAAAGAGGGACAAATTTGCCAGTGCAGAACATGCTTCAATGTTGACGCCAAAATCATTACGGTGGAAATGCATGCCATCGATCAAAATTTGAACAACACCTTGGTGCTGAAGTTCAATGCGCATAGTCTCAATGTGTGCAAGGTTTCCAAACACTCCAAAAGATGCTTCTACGAGCGCAAGCGCTTTGTTGTTTTCGATGTGCCTCTGGCACGCAATTCGAATCTGTTTTACCACACCTGGAATGACTGATGTAGATTTTACTAGATCCTCGCTTGATGTTAAACACCACCACATTTTGCATGCAAACTCCGTGCTAACTATATCATCACAAAGCTGCATCATGGCGTCAACAACAACGTCAACACCTGGGCGGCCGTTGTCAAGCGTGCTTTGGATCAAGCTCCGTTTATTGCTCTCTGCGTTTTCCGAAAGGGAACACTGGAAATATAGAGCTTGAATACCAATTCTTTGGATATCTGCAGAGTCGATATGGTGGCAAAGTGCATTCAAAACAATCAGCTGAGCACCTGAGAGCGAACCATCACTGATTTTTTTATTGTTCGAAGAAGCCGAGGAGAGGCAAGCAAGAATGCTGCAACCTTTTAGTTGAATGCTTGGAACAGTGATATGCGATTGCATTGCAAACAACAGGGAATCGCAAATAGACTCCTGATTCGTAAGCAAATCACTGGACGCTCTACCATCAGAGGAAGCAGCCAAGGAGAAAAGAAACTCCAAAGCTGCATCTTGAACCCTAACAATGGCCATATCTTCCCACATTGCGTTTACCAATGCGTCGATTCCTTTGTGCTGTATGATATAATCTCTGGCTTTGTCCCCACTACGCCAAAGAATCTCGGCCAGAGCAATAAAAGCCCTCTCTCGAATGTTGCTGTCGCCATCATTTGAGTTGATACATTCAATAATAACAGGTATCTCTTGAAGTGTCTTATCCTTCTGTTTTTTTCCTTTTCGGCTCTGCTGCTGATTCATTTTTTCTACCTTGAGGAGCCTTTGCATCATATTGTTGACACGATCCTTGGAAGGAGTTCCAACTGCAGCGTTCGTCACGCCCAAATCTGGACCATCAGTTGACGACATAGCAGCAACATCACCCATTGGGTCATCAATCATATCGTCATCTGGTCGACCTCTGAGATTTGCAGATTTCAGACCAACATTTCCCACCATCGTACTCATGGGATCATCAATCATGCCATCGTCGGGACACCCTCGTGGTGTGGAATTCATTTTCGAGGGTTCCACTCTAATAGACTCAGTAAAAAGATGCTCTTCACTGCTGCTGATGTGTTTGACCATGGATCTCTTCCTTGCTGGAACCGCCAAAGGCTTCGAATCCACGGGTCTTGGTGACCCCATCGTGGGTCTTTCTCCGTAGTACTCCTTGGGTGCCAAGTTACACAGCTTCGAAGTGCCCATTTCGACTGCGTATGGTGCAGGCGGTGGTTTCAGGTTCGAGTTCGCGATGTTACTGTCCAAACCAACGAGCGCTAGGTCTTTGTTTGGCCTTTGATCCGCTTGCCGATCGTTGTTGCTCGTCATGCTAGGCTCCGGACCTGGACGTCGTCTAGTGAGTGGCATTTTTGCGTCCTCTTCTTCGGAGTCATACTGAAATGCAGCTGACGATGTGCCATCACGTGCTGCCCGAAAAAGGGTTGCATCCAACGTGATTCCAGATACGACAGAAGCACCATCGTCAAATTCCAAATGGCTTGGAACCTCAAAAGATCGTTCAGGCTGTGAGTTTTCTTGCGTTCTCCGTGGTGAAAGCTGTTGTCTAGATGGCATGTCATTCCGGGTCGCATTCGGCTGTTGTGCTACTGGTGCAGAGGACAAATCGTGTTCGGTTGAGATTACTGGCGTTGACAATTGCCTTCGTTCTAGTCCTTGGTGTTGCTGCGGGGGGAAACGACTTGAAAGCTGCCTCGTAGAGGGTTGTGTTCGTGGTGGATACGCCCCAAAGCTGGTATTTCTACCTGGTCTAGGTTGACTAGATAGCTGTGGTTGAGTCGACGGTCTGTGGTCGCTTCCTTTTACCTGGTGGCATTTCAAGCAACGCCCTTTCAGCACCTTCCCTTCTTTATTAAGTGGAGTCTTTTTGCCAAAGACACTAATTTTGTGGGTTTGCATCCCGCAACTTTCACATTCCCCCCTCTTGGCACGCCGTTCAGCTAATGCACGGTCGCCTCCGTCAATATCTGTGCCTATGGCAAGCATATCTCGTTCTGGAACTGAAATTGGAACTGAAGACTGTCTCATCGTCTCCTGGCTATTGTTGGCTATGGACCATATGATCGTTGAAAAACATTTCAACAGCAGGAACAACTGGCAGATCGATGACTTTAGAATTCCTTGTGGTTCCTTCTCGCGAGATGACTAATAAACGAAGAAGACATTTCTCATATATGAGAACATCTTGTCGTTCACGAATAGTTTAGAACCAAAAGGGACATTTTTTAAATTTTTAGTCAGTAATAATTCATTTAGAGGCACACCTGACATAATGATGGAAAAACTGCTTTTAGGTCGCGACTCATTACTTTTATAAAATTACTCGTTCCGAATAAAAATTACTCGTTCCGAATAAAAATTACTCGTTCCGAATAAAAATTACTCGCTTTGCAATGTGAGTTATTTCTCGTTTTGGTTTTCTCATCGTTTTGGTGGCTTCTCATCGTTTCTGGAAGTCCCACAAAAATATCCCCCGCACTGCTCAGTCCTACCCTACCCCCCATGATCTTCATCAGCGATGTTTTATCGCCAATCAAGTCTTGGCTTGAGATGTGATCACCGTAGAGCAATACCGGAAAGGGTTGGAGAGGAGATTGTGAGTGTCAACAATAATGCTCACAAAATCGAAAAGGAAGGTTCCAACAAATCACTTTTAAAACCATCTCCCATGCCACCAATCTCCGCCGCCGCTGTATCTTCTCTTGAGGAAGGAGCAGGTAAGAAACTTGCAGATTGGGAAATTCATTATCAGCTTCAAAGCATCGAGGAACACAATCTAGATCGTTGGAATTTTGTGCCTATTCAACTATGGAATACAAACAAGACGATGTTCGGTGAAAAAGGAAGCATCACTAGAACGCGCTACAGTTGGTTCATCAACAACACTGTGAATCGGGTGGGTATTGAAACCTACATCAAATTGCTAAAGAAACACAAGATCGAGATATCGGATACAACTCGTGCTGAACTCGAATCAAACGAGGAAAACCCTGTTGATGCAGACGACAGGATGGAGACGGAGGAGACCAAGGAGGACAAACCAACAATAGAACAGCGCGATGTGCCAGCTGAACAGCGTACTGCAGTGTCTTCGACAATTCCAGAACAAGCAACTGCACTCAACTCCTCTTTTGACCTCCTTGTTTCTAATCTTTCAGGGATGAACATTTCTGCAAACTCCTCTATTGGCTCACC